GGTAATGTAGCATCAGTAGAAGTAGGTATATATTTATTTTGTCGCTTTGTACTTCTAGCTCCTTAGAAGGAATTGTTTACTTTGTTCAGTGTCCACGAGCAAAGTGAAAATATTTCTGAATTCGCGATGTCAGAGGGGCGAAACAAGACAAAAAGAAACTAAGTAGCCTTAGAGAATTGTACGTTTCAATTTTTTGGTAAAAATTGTTAGAACGTACAAGAAAATATAATATTGACATTCCAGGAAGGAAAAGGAGGTTAAATAGCTGTAATTTTTATTTAGGACAGAAATCACTGCATTCGCACAGCGTCTACGTCACTCTACGTTCACAAAAGTGCTCTCAAGAGGTGCATAAAAAAAACAGAACAATTCACAATTTAAGCTGTTCACAATCACATTTTGGAATCAGTTGTGATCATTTTTTTCCATACCGAAATTGAAGAAATAACAAGTGATCGAAAATCCAAAGCTCATCGGCTCATAAATTGCGGCTGACAAAATATAAAGGCCCGGAATGCCCGAGCAGTTGGGAATCGAAATGGCAAAAGACGCGAATAAGAGTTGTTAGTAAATAACTACAATTAAATCGATAAATCTCCCGATGATGTACTAGCGTTAAAAGAAGACAACAATACCACAAAGAGAGATCACGCTGTTCGACCTGCAAGAAGTTTGGAGCAACAATGATCGGGGTCTGTCTACACTCGAGCTGGAGCGACTTCGTGCGATCCGCCGTCGTGCCGAAAGACGATACCGACGCACCAATTCCACAGACGATCTACGGACAGCCCGGCGCATCCAAAAGAAGATACAACGGCGCCTTGACAAATTAGACACCCAACGATGGAGGAAATTTTGTGCGTCGCTAGATCCTCATAAATCACCGTCTCAGATATGGAGAATTATGCGAGGCCTACGTTCTGTTCCAGAGCAGCGTTTTCCCTTCAAAGCCCTTGCACTTTTTCATCGCCGGCATGAAATTGAGGTAGCAGAAGATTTCTGCGCTATGACCGTGGGCCAGACAGCGTACACAAGCCTACATACAGTGAATCATATCCGCCACTCACGGGACCCACGCATGGATCTACCGTTTACATCACAGGAGCTCGATGCGGCGCTCGTCTTATGTAATAAGTCGTCGTCAACTGGCCCGGATGACATCTCATACAGGATGCTGTGCAACCTTGGTAAACGGGCACGAGAAGCACTCCTTAACATCTTCAACAATTCCTGGCAAGCTGGCGTCGTTCCGCAAGATTGGAAGATTAGCCGCTTGGTACCGATTCTTAAGCCTGGCAAATCTCCCCTGGACATTGCCTCTTACCCACCGATCGCACTCTCAAGTTGCGTAGGAAAGGTAATGGAGAGAATGATCTTGGCCAGGCTTGAATGGTACCTGGAATACTATGAGATATATCCGAACGCCATGGCTGGTTTTCGCCGTCACCGATGTTCGATCGACAATGTTATAGATCTCGTCACATATGTCCAGCAACAAAAGGCAGGTAAACGACTATCTGCAGCCATGTTCCTTAACGTAAAAGGAGCATACGACAACGTTCTACATGACGCCATCCTCGAAGCCATTGAGTCAGTGGGCCTAGGCGGGCAACTGTATTGTTGGACACGCAGTTATTTACAAGGGCGGACCTTATTTGTGAACACTGCAGATGGTCCAACCTCCCAACACCCAACGCATCGCGGAGTCTCTTAAGGTGGCGTCTTGAGTCCAACCCTCTTCAACCTCGTTCTCATTGGTCTTGTAGAACGACTACCAAGTGTGGTCAAGTTATCCATGTACGCTGACGACATCTGCGTCTGGACATCTGGCGTGACAAGACCTCAGGTACGCGCAAGACTTCAGAAAGCTGTGACGTTGGTATCAGTATACCTCAAGGACCAGGGTCTGAAAATCTCGCCAGCAAAATGCGCATTGATTGCTTTTAGTCGAAAGCCAATGAGACTATACGCTATATCAATCGATGGCCAAGTCATACCATATGTCAGGACGCACAGATTTCTAGGCGTATTCATTGAGAGAGACCTCTGCTGGGGCCCACATGTGGCCCACTTGAAGAAGAGGCTGACAGAAATTGCTAACTTATTCAAGTATCTCGGAGGAAAAACCTGGGGGACTTCAGTACATGCAATGATGCAATTGTACAAGACGCTTTTTCTTGGCTGTTTGCGCTAAAGTTTGTCTGTGTTGAACAATACCTGTAGAACCAGCATTCGGACTCTCGAAAGCATCCAGGCTCTGGCTCTGCGAGCTTGTCTGGGGCTACCGCGATGTTCATCAACAGCTGAGACAATCGAGATCGCTAATGACTACCCGCTCAAGACCGATGTTATAATGGAAGTGCTCAGAGCACATGTGAGGCATCTTACTCGCGCCCCTGCCCATCATCTAGCTTCTCTGCCAGCAGACCGACCTCGTGCCTCATTTTGCCAGACAGACTTGTCATATCGCACACGCATTCCTACGGGATATACAACTCCATCTAGAATTTCAACTCCCCCATGGAGTATGACTTATGCACAGGTTGAAATCACGGTTCCAGGCATAGGGTAAAAAGCCCGGCTCTCGTCTCCAGCGCTAAAGCAGGTTTCTGTTCTCTTGTTATATCAGAAATACAATGAGCATACTCATCTATATACTGACGCTTCAACTAAAGTGGATGGGTCTGCAGGGTCGGTGATCTTTCCTGCAACAGCGACAACGGTGAAGTTTCGTTTATCCCACCAGACATCATCGACAGCTGCGGAACTTGCGGCTCTACGTAGCGCAATTCAATTCATTAAACACCAAGAAGCCAAGAAATGGAGCGTGTTCACGGACTCTAAGGCAGCACTCAAGAACAACTAGTGCTGGAAATTAGAGAGCTGCTTCACCACCTCTTCGACGAAGGACACAGAATCACGTTTCAGTGACTTCCAAGTCACTGCGGCATATTGGGCAACGAACATGCCGATGCAGCTGCCCGATCAGCACACGAAGATGGTGAATAAAAATCTATACCACTTTCAAAAACTGATGCTGCAATGACCATCCGAAAAATCGCTAATGCAGAATTAAAATCCCTGTGGAACACCGAGTGCTTACGGCACACGCGACTGCGTAGACTGGACACGTCTCGTCGACTCCGGCCTCCGTCTGGACTCTCTCGACTCGAGACAACGGTGTTTTGCGGACTATGGCTTGGTGTCGCCTTCAGCAAAGTTTTCGCCTTCCTAATCGGCATGGAAGACAGTGCTGCTTGCGGTCATTGCGGCAGCGATGAAACTATAGAGCACGTTCTCTGTCACTGCCCTCGTTACAGCGTGCAAAGACGGCAACTAGCTGCTGCGTTAGCTCGCCTTGACGACAGACCTTTGTCTGAACAATCAGTGCTGGAAAGACGACATGATTTGTGTGCTCACAGAAAATCAGTGAAGGCCCTACTAAACTTTTTGCGTGGCAGCGGTCTATTGTATAGACGGTAGCACCCAAGCTCCCCCCCTTTTTTTTCCGCGCGCGTCTATTTCCCTCTTCGCTTTTTTTCCAATCTTTCTTCCCCATTCCCCCTTCCCCTAGTGCAGGGTAGCAAGCCGGATGCTCCATTTTCTGGTTAACCTCCCTGCCTTTCCCTCATTGTATTCTCTCTCTCTCTTTCTCTCTCTAGAGGAAACTCTGGCACTAGCGTCTATGGGAGCTGCATTGCATGGCACTTCAGCGAGCATAATAAGTACGGGAAGTACACGAATTTTGAAGTCTTCCTTTTTTACTTTCCTTTTAGCTTCGCTTGGCTTGAAGCTGCTTCGTGATGAAACAGCATTCGGCAAATGTTCAGAAGTTGCGCTTCACCACCTTAATTTTTTTAGGCTTGCCATTTTAAATCGGGTCATGAATTTCAAAAGGGGTTGTTTTTTATTTTGAAAGAAAACCGAAACAAAGCTTTAAACAAAGTCACAATGGTTATTCACCACCAGCAGGTAGAAAGACTAGGCAAATCTGTGTACTACCTGACATTTCCATGGCCGTTGATTGATCGAAGCGTCAGAGTGCCTTATAGTTAATTTTAGAACACTCCATGACTCCAGACCCACTCAACGCATTGTGCGAGCAAAGTGGCCATGGTTGTAAGTGTCAGTTGGCTTAGAAGCCAATATAGTTGCACCCATGTAGACCAGACCACCCGCGTCGAGGCGACGCGACGTGAATGGAAACCAGTGGCGCTGGTTAAACACATTGAGCAATGCTGCGGCAAGCCATAGTAGGGACGTGGCCACGGCGTGGTACTATCATCTGGTTTGGATTGAACAAACCGGCTGCGTAACACCGTGTACACAATGTGTGTTATTGTTTGACAACCGACGCACCATTCAACGTAAATACATCCACGTAGACGCTCAGTGATACATCTTCATCCCGACGACTAACGTCCATAATGAATTACTGAACAATGACCAAACATGCCCTTGCGGTAATGTATACTTGCGGTGTAGGTACTGCAGGCTGAAGCGTTAACGCTAGGAGTCTAACATGCAGCCATCGACATGATTTCGCCAAGATCTATTTACGATAGGCTTGTATTCAGAAGGAAATATCTCAATTATTTTGGAACCCCTAACTTTCAAAAATGTAAGAAGATTTTTTGGGTATTGAATTGTAAGAAATGATAAGACCACTCTGTAATTTAAACCTCGATGGTATTGCATTGGGAGTATGAATTCTGGCGTAGAAGGGCCCGGCTTTTACACTAGAATAACAGAGGTTGTTTTTCGCCGCTGTCTTTGTTCTCTTTCTACATGTGCGCCGTCATATATAACCGATCGTCGTTAAGGCACAAGTCGATAAGACGTAAGTAGACGTGGCTTTCAGACTAGCCTCATGACTGATCGGTGATGATCTTTCACGAAAATATTTTGACAAATGAACTCCTAGAAGCTGTTCCAATAGGTATGCAATATGTGCGAGCTTATTGAACCGTATCTATTTAAAGAACGTCACACTTGTTTATCTTCGCTTGCGTGTTGTCTGTGACAATACATGTACAACTGCTAAGCACGCGTTACTGAGCTGCCACGTCGTGTTTTCAAATGGTATAAGAGCCCGAATCCAGCGTGGCGTGGTTCAATTTGTTAGTCTATATATGCACCTTTTAGTAACTCTATTAGCCATTTTACTATCTTAAAAACTGCCACAAACAATATTGTTGGTAAGTATCAGTTTTATTGTTTAGGATAGTTCAAAGGCCTTGGTTGCAAAAGGTTCGTAAAAGCAAGAAAAGTGCATCTTGCTGCAGGTAAATCCTTATGCGCATGCGAAGCAGCTATGGGTGGCGTGAGGTTTCTCAAAATGTGTTCGGTCTCGTGCAATTTGGTTATGGGTGGTTTATTTACGTCTCGCTCAAACTTTTCTGGCATGAAGCTCTAGGTTCGCTTGCCTGTGCTAACATTGCGCTGCAGCCTTTTTCAGACGACAAGATAACCTAAGTGACTGTCCCAAGAAGGACCAAGTTCGGAAACAAATGCTGAACTCCTAAACACGTAGTAGGAAGAGAAACACTGCAGAAACGAAACTATGCGAAGGAAATGGCGCGGCATCGACAGGAAAAATTTTGTCGGACCACGAAATTGGTATTGGAATGTATAGTCCAAAAAAGTGGATTCAAGGCTGTGCAATGGGCGTCTGTTTGCTTGTTTCTTTTGGGTGAATGATAGCGTATAGTTCTCCCGGATACTAATCGTATTTTGACGCAGTCCATGCATTCTAAAATATTTATAAGACCTGATACTTACGAGCGTGTTTGCGTTGTTGCTGTTGACCTTAATCTGCCTTATTAAGGTTTTTCACTTGGGTATGAGGGGCTGTGCGACATTAGCGTCCCGCCTTGTTCTATTTTTCATAATTCGCAGCATAACACTACTGCAGCGTCACAAATACCTCCACAAATGTGTATCACGCGAGCTGTGCAGTTTCGAGTTTGGTGAATATGTTTGTCAAAATACGCCACCTGCACACGCCCGCCAACAGCCAATATGCCACCTTTTATTGGAATGCATTGTGCTTCACGTAAATCGATTCAGTGCCAAACAATATAACAATCATTGCATTAGAAGATCATAATTTTCATTTTTTCGAACGAACATAACAGCCTCATTGCTGTTCCTATAATGGCTAAATATGATTAAAAATGGTGTACAAGGTGCTAACTTATGTGAAAATGTTTGGGAAAAAATAAGATCAAATAGATTATCGCAAGGGTGTGCAGCTCGTAATAGCAGATAGTATCAATATGTTTCAATGTATTGTGCAGAAATGCGAACAGAAGACAGAACATTGCTTACAATGCAGCACAAGTTCAGTGTAGCTGTTCTTTTGTAGTTGACATTTATGCCTGATCTTTCTGCTAACTTCATTACGAATGTAAGGTTCAAAGTCTTTGCAAGTAATTTTGAAAGATGATGACTTTTCGCCGTTTTATTTATATAACACCAACTTGACGACCGAACTGATCACAACGGTACATGTTATCCTATAGGCAAAAATCTTTCGTTATTGAATAGTGTGTCGGTTATCAGTACAACTTTTTTTTTTTCGAAGACGAATCCACCAGCATTTTTCAACAAACAAGCCGTAAGTTTTTGCACTCAAGGCTGTTTTCATATTTTTCTCCAGGAACTAAGTCTTATCGAGAGTACCAATTATGACGCGGCTGCTCATTGTTTTGCTTTTTGTATGCGGTGTTTCACGGACAATGGCATGTAAGTGTTAATTGTTATTCTTTGCCTCAACTTTTTCTCTTGGTTGCATGTTAAGAGGATGTCTTTATATTGGTTTTACACAAGCAATAACCTGAACTTACCTGAACTGGCTACTCGTGGAGATGTTATCGAAGACCAGATATTGCCTGAGAGCTGAGATATACTGTATGAGGCAAACCGCAACGCCAACAAATATATAGGTTTAATAAACTTGAAACTCGGCCGAATGGCGCATAGTGTACGGGAATTTAATAGCACAAGAACACACACATTTACTATACGAGGACGGTACACGTTGGCTGTGCTGTCATATCGCCTTGTAATTCTGTTGTTTGGTGGTCAAACATTATGTACCTGCTGACGTAGTTGTGATGGCAAAAAATGTACTTATAAACCAGCGAACAATTCCAGTCACCTTTGTAAAATTGCATGATGCCCAAGACAAGAACACCAAAGTGCTACAAAATGCACTTGTTTATGTCATTTTCTTCCTAGTCCCTCGTTCAAGCAGGTAGTTTGACCAAGCCGGACCCTTGCCAACTTGCTAAAACTTTCTTACTGCTTAAACCAGTACATTTTGGTCACGTTGCGCCCGGGAAAAGAGAATAGTCACTGTGAAAGTAGAGAAGAAGCCAAGGTCGTCAGTCATTTATAAATGAGGTGTTTTGACAGTGCTGCACAATAGAGCTAATTCTCTGCCTCCCCCTGAATGCCGCAACTGCTTATGCATGGGCCGGTGTGTGAATAACACTGCCACTAACGTAGCTTTTTCGCATTTATGGCATTGATTGACCATGTCGCATAAAAATGCAAGAAATATATTCAATCTCTTTTTTCTTTTGAAAACTGGAGAAAGCTTTTGATTGTGCTGAAACGTGAGTAGTGATGGAAGCATATCAGAGTCAGGGCACGGACCAAGCACAAAAATTTCAACAAGAACAATCCTTATCGACTTTGTGTTACTGTGCTCTAATTTGTGTTCGTATAAATTTTCTTTGTGTTTCGGAACTATGGTTCTCCAATTATCTCTGCATGAATCAGTTACAATAATGAATTGTATATACATGTGCTCTATATATGCACTGTAGTTTTGCACAAAAAGCAACACTGCAGCGGTAAAGAGATGAATAAAGCAGGGTGCCATTATTTGACCAGTGCTGTTGAGTGTTTGTTTAGCGGAGGTTTCTTGAGCTATAGGTGTGAATGCTCCTTGATAAGAGTCAGTAAAGAATACCTCAATATTTAGCGATTCATTGATGAGAGTGATTTTCTAAATTTCCTAGCGTAGCCCTTGAGCAAATAATTAAACACTGCCTAACAAATCGCATAGGCAAGTCAGAATGGCGAGTGGAAAAGCAATATGAAGAAAATTGATTTATATTAAGAATTTTCGAGAAACAGCAGGCTTTTACAATAGTTAGAGAGGTACTTGAAATGGTAAGGGAATACTTCTACTGAGATTCGGTACTGATCACAGATCACAACTACTGCGACTCTGAAATGTATAGAATAAGGAGGTATAGTGTGTTCGGCAGGCATTTCCAGATACTTATTTCAGGTTAATAATATACTATTAGCGAAAACACCTAACTAAATTTTACTGGTGCCCGCTTACGGGGCACAGGCATAGATGCTTATAGATTGAGTGCAGGTGAAAAGGAGTTACCTACAGAGAACGGTGTAAAGAACAATGCCCGGTGGGATGGTAAGAGACTATAACTACATAAAGAGAGTAGTCAACAAAAGGAAGGTAATGACATCTGTGTTTGAATCGCGATTAGAAAAAGCGCTTTGACAGAGCATATAAGCAGAAACCGATAAGTTACTCACGTTCAAAAGTCACCGATTATGCAAGTTAATGCAAGCATACATAAGGCAGAAAAAAAAATGTGGGCAAAAAGAAATTTAGCGGTGGGAGAGTTGATTGCCTGGTCACCAGACACACCGAACTGGGTTATACGTAAAATATAGGAATGGCTTTTGTCCTGCAAAGCATGTTGTCTTGCTGAAAATGACGAAATATTTTGCACCTGCAGCAGTTTTGTCTGGTACTCACTCCGAAATCTTTAAAAGGAAGGAAGAGTGACAGATATAGTTTTAGCATGTCACATATTTATAAGTATAACCGGCACAACTAACAAAATAATATAGGTAAGTCAATTCTCCAAAGCAAAACAAGTCATGTTCGCATGCTAACGAGAATGCAGGAGAGTTGAGCAGTAAACGGCATTGTGAGAGAAGTGGTGATACACTGCGCTGAAACAAGGGTGAATCGTTTCGAAATGCTAAGTGCACTGGACTTTAAATTGCGTTTTACGCTTGTACAATAAAATACCATCCCAAATCACTTCTTACGACGTTCTTCCTTTGCGGGCTGGCAGAAAGTGGGCATGGACGCACAACCAAAATGTGGCACTCACGTTTCTTGTTCATCATTGCGCAGCTTCTTGGTTTCGCTGGATTTGCCGACTGCACGGACGGCGCCGCGTCCACGGACTCGACTGATGGTGGTTTCGACAAGGGATCTTCAGGCAACGCCCCTGGCTGGTGTATTCATGGCGCACAGCCACAGTTGCTGAGGACCGATAGCGATGCCATGTACAATTTCCCACAGTTCACCTTTCCCCGGAGTGTCACAGCCACAGCAACATCGACAACACGCCTACCGGACCCTTTAAAAGCCCATCTAACGGATCTTATCGCCAGTGGGCATGGACGCACAACCAAAATGTGGCACTCACGTTTCTTGTTCATCATTGCGCAGCTTCTTGGTTTCGCTGGATTTGCCGACTGCACGGACGGCGCCGCGTCCACGGACTCGACTGATGGTGGTTTCGACAAGGGATCTTCAGGCAACGCCCCTGGCTGGTGTATTCATGGCGCACAGCCACAGTTGCTGAGGACCGATAGCGATGCCATGTACAATTTCCCACAGTTCACCTTTCCCCGGAGTGTCACAGCCACAGCAACATCGACAACACGCCTACCGGACCCTTTAAAAGCCCATCTAACGGATCTTATCGCCAGTGGGCATGGACGCACAACCAAAATGTGGCACTCACGTTTCTTGTTCATCATTGCGCAGGTTAGTTGCAGTTCATTACCACCTCTTAAATCTTTACGATCGGACAACCGATTCGTCGTTGTGCTTCCATGCCCCAGCGTCCTGCTTGAACCTTTCTGTGCCTTGTTTTTGGCGTTGTGCGGAGACGTCGAGCAAAATCCCGGTCCTACTGATGAAATACTTAAAATGGTGAAAGAAACAAATGCTCGATGCATTCGAATTGAGGCAAACCAAAGCAACATTGCGCAAGCAATAGACGACCTTAAAGCTGCCCACACTTCTTTGGTGTCCACTGTATCGGGCATTAATGAGCGCTTGCAGTCAGTGGAACAACAAAGAGCTTGTTTCGAGGGATTTCAGGGAGACGTCTGCCGCACACGTGAATGTGTAACTACAATGCAAAAAGAACTAACCACATTGCGTGCTAGACTTGAAGATGCTGAAGATCGTTCTAGGCGGGACAACCTGCTATTCTTTGGCATTGCAGATGATCCTCTGGAAAACTGGGAGCGATCATCAGCAAAAATTATCGCGCTTGCATCGGATAGTCTACAGCTGCAGCTTTTGTCAGATAGTATTGTACGTGCCCATAGGTTGGGACGATACAAAGCAGGGAGTAACAGACCCATTATTGCTAAGTTTGCTGCGGACAAAAGTAAAGATTTAGTTTTCTCAAAGCGCTCTCTGCTTTCTGGAACTGAACTAAGTATAAAGCAAGACTATTCACTCGCTACGCGCACTGCCCGGAAAAAACTGAGTGAGTTCAGCAAAACGCTTAACATAACCACTAAGTTAACCCACAACAAACTTCTCGCAGGTGGTAAGTGCTATATTTACGATCCAGGCGAAGACAGTGTGCATGAGCGTGTTCGCGAAGAACCTTCAGACAATATGTGTAAGCCTACGTCAACTTCCCGCTCTTGTCAGAATGCCCCTCTCTCGCCTAGGTTAACGCGCTCTAGTAGAACGCAAGCCACAAAAAAATAGGATACCGCGAGGGGTGGTGCCGTTTTGTTTCCTATACCTGTTCTGTATACCAACATCCGAAGCCTTAGTAATAAAAAAGAGAGTCTCAGTGCTCTAATCAACGATTCGGAAGCAGATGTTGTTATATTAAGTGAAACTTGGTTGTCAAACGAAATAAAAAACAACGAGCTGTTTTATTGCAACAAAAAGTTTGTTGTGTACCGACGTGACCGTGACGAGAGGATTGGTGGTGGTGTTTTGATTGCTGTAAATGAAACCTTCGAGAGTTTCCTAATTTCAACTGTGAGTAGCTTGGAAATAATTTGGTGCTGTCTAACAATCAACTTCAAGAAAATAATTTTTGGTGCCTGTTATCGTCCTCCAAGTTGTGCCAGTGGTTTTTCTGAGGCGTTTCATGACTCGGTGAATGAAATCACTGTCAAGTTTCCTGCTGTGCCCGTCTTTCTTGCTGGTGATTTCAATTTTCCACATATTCAGTGGCCAGAACCTTACCTGTCCTCCATTTCATCATCCGCGGAAGCTATCGCTTTTATTCATGCATGCCTGGACTTTAATCTGTCTCAGTTGGTAACTCGGCCAACACGTGTAACGCCCACCACAGCGTCATTACTTGACCTGATACTAACATCAGTTCCTGATATCGCTTCTTCTGTAACACACACCCCTGGCTTAAGCGATCATGACATACTTCACTTTACCATTAGCCTTCCTGCACCAAACCCACGTAGACAGTTGAAACAGATAAGAGACTACAGCAAAGCAGACTTTGAAGCTATAAACTCCAGTCTCTGCTCTTTTCTCGATGAATTTCTTTTAGATTATTCTCACAAACCCGTTGAAATACTATGGCAGTCATTCAAAGTAAAGGTTGCTGAACTAACAGCCCAACATGTCCCTCTAAGAACTATATACAGCAATTCTAACGCACCTTGGTATTCTAGGCACCTTAAAAGGTTGTCGAATAAAAAATCACGGCTGTTTCGTGCCGCGAAACGATTACAAAGCGCCGAACGCTGGTCTGTCTATAAAACGGCAGCTAAGTCCTACAATGACGCTCTCAATAGTGCCAAACACCATTTCTTTCACTTCACACTACCAGCACTGTTGCAAGCTAATCCAAAACAGTTTTGGAACACATTTAAGCCGAAAGAGGACTCAACTATTTGCCTTGTTGATGAACTTGGTAATCCAGTCCCAAAAGATCACTGTGCTTCGTTACTGAATGAAACGTTCGCTTCTTCTTTCTCCGACTTCATCATTAACAATCGTCCATGCATACAGAATCTTGACTGTCTTCCTATGGATCCCATTACCTTTAATACAACCGGCATTGCGACACTAATTGATAAGCTAAAGCGATCATCGTCATGTGGAGTTGACTCAATTAACTCTAAATTTCTTCAGAATACTAAGGAATACAGTTCCATTATTTTAGGCTGCCTCTTTACTAAATCGCTCCAAGATAACTGTCTACCTAAAGACTGGAAAACCGCTAAGGTGATCCCACTCCATAAATCTGGTGAAAGACATAACCCCCGTAATTATCGTCCTATTTCTCTCACATCGGTCCCTTGCAAACTAATGGAGCATATAATTTACTCAAACCTCGTTAAACATTTGGAATCAAATAACTTCTTTCATAACTCTCAGCATGGTTTCCGCAAATTTTTTTCTTGCGAAACACAACTAATACTATTTACTAATGATCTCCACGCTGCACTTGACTCAGGTACGACTATTAATTGTATTTTCCTAGATTTCGCCAAAGCTTTTGACAAGGTTAACCATGAACTGCTCCTACTAAAATTACATTGCTTGAGCATAGACCCGTTATTACTTGACTGGATAAAAGAATTTCTTTCTAACCGCACACAGTTTGTTTGTACTAACGATATTAATTCCTCTGAAGTGCCCGTGCGTTCAGGCATACCTCAAGGTTCTGTTTTAGGCCCACTACTATTTTTAATTTATATTAATGACTTGCCTAATAACATATCCTCCCCTATTTGCCTCTTCGCTGACGATTGTGTCATTTACCGTAAAATTACTGATCATAACGACAACGAAACCTTACAATCAGACCTAAACAACATTTTACATTGGTGTAACCTTTGGAAAATGGAACTTAACATTTCTAAATGTAAAGCAATGAGAGTTTCACGTAACCACACATCTATCGATAACTATTCATACAGCCTGAACGCAACCCCTCTTGAATATGTCCGATCTTATAAGTATCTTGGTGTTCACATTACTAACTCGCTATCATGGTCCGACCACATTAATCACGTCACATCCAAGTCTAATCGCATGCTCGGTTACTTAAAACGAAACTTTCCTGTTGCGCCGACTTTTTTAAAGAAACAGCTGTACATCACCTACATCCGTCCTCTACTGGAGTACGCCGCATGTGTATGGGATCCCGGCCATATAACACTCGTTAACAAATTAGAGGCAATCCAAAACCGGTCGTCACGTTTCATTCTTTGCAGCTATAATCGAACATCTAGTGTAACTGCCATGAAGGTCAGGCTTAATCTCCCTCCACTTGTCATGCGCAGAAAAATCGCTCGCCTTTGCGCGTTCCAAAAAATATACTATCACAATCACGTTCTAAAATCGCGCTTATTGCAGCCTGCATCTTTCATATCATCCCGCATAGATCACCTCCACAAAGTGCATATCCCTCGAAGTAACACCGTCACCTTTTCCCAGTCTTTCCTTCCTAACACATGTCGCGACTGGAATCTTCTGTCAACATCAACCGCCAGTATTACTGAACCTGACGCGTTCCGTCAGGCCTTGACATCTTCCATGTAAAATGCATTACATGTCGCGCACGCGATAGTACCTCATTGTATTCGTAACTTGTATTTCACACCGCATTTTTTTGTCGTTTTCTTATTATTGAATCTTTTGCACCTTTTGTGCGTTGGCTGGCTTCTTACGTGTATGTTTTGCTTTTTGCCCGTTTCGCTTTTGCCTCTTTTTTGTTTGTTGTGCTTTTGCCCGTTTCGCTTTTGCTCGTTTTCTTATTGAATCTTTTGTACTTTTTGTGCGTTGGCTGACTTATTAAGTGTATGTTTTGCTTTTTGCCCCTCCCCTCTACAATGCTGTAAAGCCCTGAGGGTAAAATAAAGAAAGAAAGAAAGAAAGAAAAAAATACTTTTTAGATGGATATGGTGGAATTTGGAGGAAATGTGAAAGAAATCCCTTGACACTCATGTGCGGTATAATTTGGGCAAATATCTCGCTTTAGAATACGCACGGCACACTGCGCTTTACGGTAAAATGCAAAACAGCACCTACTTAATACATAAGATAAAGAAAGATGAGACATGCTTGGTACTAAAGAGCATGTTGTTTCAAGTTCAGCGCTGTGTGTTTCGTAACGTTCCTTCGCGAGTTAAATACAACAAGAGCTGTTTCACTTTTTACTATTGAACCTGAACAACACGCACAATTTGCCTGCTTTTTTTGGACTTTGGTGAAATGATATATTCGTAGATGAGTGATGATACCATATCTTTCTTACTCTTCATTTAGCATGTCCAGAAGATCAAGAACCTCAATTTTGTCAGAGTAATAATAATATTCCGCAACTATATTGTGGCACGGTTGATCAAGAAAATGAGTGGTTGTGCAGAAAGAGAAGCTATGGAAAGTGTGCGTGTAAAGCTGGCCTCTACAGAAGAAAAGATCGCAAGTGTGTACCCAAGGAGGAGTGTGGTGAGAAACAGAAAGTTCATATTTCAATTAAATATTGTATCATATTTCTAAGACCGTTGGCTCTAGGCAAGTAACCAACATAACGACTTTGAATTATTGGTATAAAGTACCTTGAACCATTTTTCGTGAATGAAGGTAATATACATGTGAACATATTCATCTTTGTATAGGTACTTCTGTCGCATAGTACAGTGTATAAAATCAATAACATTACATGGATATAGATTGACAGACACTACATAGATGACCAACCAGAGGCTCAAGGTGGAAGTTTCCTTCGTAATTTTCATACATATACAGCACGTGTTCGTTGGTATAGGCTTTCGATCATTTAGTGGTCTGCACGCAGCCGCGGTTGTCTCGCCCGAGCTCTGGTGTTCGGCTGAGTTTTTTTTTGTAGAGGAAAAGTTGTGAGTGGTGGGACTCGCAACTTTGCAGCACATTACTATTTATAAATTGGTATGCGGCAGAGAAATTACAGCAGCTTAACTTCGCTTTTAAATACCATATTTCGATTCCCATGAATAGGTTAAGCTTTTACCGTTTGATATGCTGACGCCAATTGACATGTTGACGTTTTCCGGCTATTTACATGTGTAATCCAGTCATAAACACCACCAGATAAGCATTTTCTTAAGTGTAAACGCGCATCTTCTAGTAGTTAAACCAAGCGAATTTCTCTGTCATTCACAGAGTGATTTTTATGCAAGAAGTCACCTTTACAGTAATATAGAGAAGTAGGAGATACGAGAAAAAGACCAGTGACAATAATTTTGTAGTGCTTAGTCGGTGAGTAGGGTGTTATCCACAAAATAATTCATGCCCAAATCCCTCATCATATTCATCATCACTAAATGGTGGTTACATATTGACGCGTGTGTACTAGTGGACGGAAACGACGATAAGGAGGTTTGGCGGACACTAGGTGGTGCAGCTGTGGCTGGTCAAGGAAAAAGAAGGCAATCTTGCTGTTCGGCTGCTGAGAATCGGTGTGTCAACGTCTATCTGCATTTTGTTCCTCGTTGTACTGCGACACTGTTGGAGGTGCTAGACGCAAACCTTCCTGGTGCTCCATACTCCCCCTGGGAGCCATTCATCTAGCCCAGACGCATTGGCATCTATTGCAGTTCCCGTGCACCGGTTCAGTCGGCAGCTGATAAACCTGGCACCAGAGTTCACTTCTTCCACGGAACCTCGCAGGCGCCGCTTTCCTCACCAAATGGTCAACGCCAATCGGCAACAGGTGCTCCAACGAACCCCGCCGACACACCGCTCACTGCTAATTATTTTTCAACCGCTGGTTCCCGATCACTTTAGTGGCGGCGCCCATAAAGACGTTGTCGACTGGCTTCAGCACTAAGTGCGTGTTGCCAAGATCAATATGTGGTCTGAAGGAGAAAAGCTCTCACGTGCCTACTTTTTCCTTGACGGCGGTGCGAAAATTGGGTAGGATAACGGAGAAGCAAGTCTGTCAACTTGGGGCGACTTCCAAAAACAGCTTTTGGACACGTTCGCCAATGCCGATCGACGGGACCGCGCGCAGCAGCTGTGGGAGCTCCGGGCTCAAAAACCCAATGAAAGGTTCTTATGTTCGCTGAGGATATGACTCGTCTTTTTCGTCGAGCTGACCCGAACATGACTGAGGATAGGAACTTGAGCTACCTTATGCGTGGCGTTAAAGAGCAATTTTTTGCTGGGCTACTGCGCCACCTTTCAAGTACCGTAGTTGACTTTACCAAGAACACTACGGCTATTGAGCTGGCCCTCCATTAACAATGCAGGCAGTATTGATACAAGTCATCATTAACATGAATGAACGCACCACAAAGGTGACGAAGATGAAAATTGAACAAAAGCTCGTGTTGTGAATGTAACTCCACCATCATGGTTCAAGGACACTGTGTACTCCGTGTACAATATGTAAATATAATTCTACGCTGAGCCTGCTCTCACCCCATGACATTTTGGGGGTGGTGCGGGATAAAGAGACTGAGCTACGCAGCGGCCGACGCTTGGTTTCTTCCACGATGGCAAGAGCTGGTACGGCTCCAGCTCCCGCAGCGGCCACCGGAACAACAGTTGTTCTGCTCCAGCTGAAAGACTCTGGCACGTTCTGCGGGACCTACAATGTCGACATTGAAGAATGGTTGCCGCTGTACGAGCGAACAAGCAGGAATTATCGCTGGGACAAAACGCTCATGCTGGCGAACATTCTATTTTACCTGAAGGGGACAGCCAAGTGTGGTTTGAGAACCACGAAGCAAGAATTGGCAGCTGGGATGCGTGCAAAGAAAAGATGCGTGCACTGTTCGGCAAATCAACTGGCAGGAAGACAGCGGCCAAGAGGAGCTGGCATCTTGCGCTCAAACGTCATTGGAGTCGTTCCTGTCTTACATACAGGACGTGCTCGCCCTTTGCCGCAAAGCAGACGACGGCGTGGAGGAGTCCGAAAAGGTAGCGCACATATTAAAAGGCGTTACTTATGACGCGTTCAATTTGCTACTTTGCAAGAACTGTGACACAGTAGATGCCATTATCAGACAGTGCCAGTGTTTTGAGGCCACCAGGAGCCGACGATTTCCCATCAGTTCGCTCGACTTCCCGACACCGCAGCAACATGGTCGTGCGAAGACAAGCCTGTACCACAGGCACCGCTGACAGCAGAGCACGTCACGAAGATCATTCGTCGAGAACTTGAAGCTAGGTCCCCCGCTTCAACTTTCTCTCGTGCCTGTGAGTCCAGTTCCCAAATGGTGACTTTTGTCCATGCCATCGTTCGCCAAGAGCTTTCGAAGGTTGGCTTCGAATCTGTCTGCACCGCCACCCCCTCCAGACCGACTGACCGTCATCCGCCAGTTTTCTACGCACAAGGCCAGAGGCTCCCAGCGCGCTCTCAGTGGAGGACTGCTGATGACCGGCCAATTTGCTTTAACTGCCATCGTGTTGGCCACATGTCCCGCTATTGCATAGCAGGTGTTATTGGCGTCAACCTTCCTATGACTACAACCGTCTCGCAGAGGCAGATGATGGCCACTCCAGAACTCACCAGGAGTCGACTCGGCCAGCTGGTGGCGACAGTTTGTCGATGGTGCGTTGTCGATCACCATCCCCTGCCGGTCACCAGTCCTGCTCAGAGCTGTCTCGTCGCCCATCGTCACGCTATCCTCAATTTCGCCGTCCTTCTTCGCCGACTGCACATCTGGCTCGGGAAAACTAGACGATGCAGCTCCCAGTGGTGATGCTGCATCGACAATTCACCAGCCAAATCCTCTGACTATGCTGACATGACGCAACCTCATAGACGTTAAAGTAGACGATGCGCTTGAAGTTGTCCTTGTAGACACAAACTCCCACATTGCGGTGATGCATTCGGAGCTTCGCCGCTGCCTCAAAAAGGTTTTAACACCGCCCACAGCGCCGCTCATCGAAGTCGCTGACGGTGGAATTTTTCCTGTGCTTGGGATGTGCTCCACACGAGTTAGTGTTGCTGAACTCTCCACAACTGTGCTTTTTGCTATGCTCGAGAAGTGCTGTCATGAACTCATCCTGTGCTTGGACTTTCTTGCCGCACACCCTGCCTTAATTGACTGTGGAATAGGCTTGCTTCAGCTTGACCTAACTTATTGCTATAACACTCAAACTAAACCTCAACCATGTTTGTGTTCTGTCGAGTACATTCGCCTAGCGCCCCAAGCCGTTACCTGGTACGGCTCCAGCTCCCGCAGCGGCCACCGGAACATAGGCAGACCAGTGCAGGCAGTCAACGTAACCTTGAGGTCTTTCCTCCGGTACCCGACGGCGAATATGTGCTGGCACTGATTTTGGACGTGTTATTAGAGAGAAATGTTGCCCTTCCTCATACTCTGTTGATGATTACCAATATTTTGGCGTCGCTACCAATACTGAACTACAGCTGGTGCGCTCAAGTTGTTCCAGATGGCATGACTCTAGCCAACGTCTCTTTCATTAGTGAACATTCTGTTTCGGAATTCATTGCAGACGCTCCTTCGCCCGCTACTGCATCCTCTTTACAAAGCTCCTTTGATGCCGACTTTGACACGATGATCGTGCCAGACCTCTTTCCAGCACAGGCAGCCGATCTCTGGCATATCTTGGCATCCTTCAGGGATATCTTCGACTTCTGCGACAGCCCTTTAGGAAAGACGTCAGTAGTTACTCGCAGGATCAACACTGGAGACGCCAGCCTATTTCGACGACGTTCTTATCGCGTGTCCCATGCAGAGCGACAAGCCATCCAACTTGAAGTTGATAAAATGCTCACAAAAGACGTCATTGAACCATCTTGCAGTCCATGGGCCTCACCAGTCGTTCTTGTAAAAAAGAAGGACGGCAGCTGGCGCTTCTGCGTCGACTATCGTCACTTAAACAAGGTCACACGAAAGGACGTCTACCCACTTCCACGATTGGACGATGCCCTCAACTGCCTGCACTGGTCTGCCTATTTCTTCTCTGTCGACCTGCGTGCAGAGTACTGACAGATTTTTTTCGATGAATTAGACCGTTAAAAGACTGCATTCGTTACATCGGATAGACTTTTCCAGTTTAATGTAATGCCTTTTGGCTTATGCAATGCTCCCACTACATTTGAGAGAATAATGGACTCCCTGCTACGGGGTTACAAATGGTCAACGTTCCTCTGTTATCTTGATGGCATCCTTGTATTCTCGCCGTCATTCGAAAGTCACCTTAGCCGTCTGTCAGCTGTTCTGAAAGTTTTCAGAACGACAGGCCTACAGCTCAACTCTTTCAAATGCCGTTTCGAGTGCCAAACAATCACTGTGCTAGGTCATCTTGTCAGTGCTAAAGTCGTTCGACCCGATTCCAACAAGATTTGCGTCGTCAAAAATTTCCCCACACCACGTTCCACGGATGATGTACGGAGCTTTGTCGACCTCTGTTCCTATTTCCGGCGTTTAGTCCACAACTTCGCCGACATTGCCCATCCTTTGACAGAGCTACTGAAGAAGAACACGCCGTTT